GTGTGTGTGTTTGTGTGTGTGTGTGTGTGTGTGAGAGAGAGAGAGAGAGAGAGAGAGAGAGAGAGAGAGAGAGAGAGAGAGAGAGAGAGAGAGAGTGAAGGGAAGAGGGGAAAGGGGGGGAGGGTTGGGAAAAATTGGCGGGTTGCAGCACATGGCAACACAGCGCAATACTTTTTTGTTTTTTTTTTGTTTTTAGTCTACTTCAAGGCATCGGCGCCATATGAGAGAGAGAGAGAGAGAGAGAGAGAGAGAGAGTTCGCATCCATCAGTTGTCTCCACCACGAATGAATTATCTGCTATGTTGGGCCGTCGCCCGGCCTGGCATGCCCAGGCCAGTTGGGCAGAGGGGGGGTCCCCCGGCAAAACCAGACGGGTCAAAAAAGAGGCAAGGATCCCCCCCCCAAAAAAAAACACTTCAGGCCAGGACTGCGCTTGGCCCAAGCAGTCAGAATCCGGTCTTAACTTCGGTTTTGGTGATGGGTCATCCGGGGGGTTGGGGGGTATAAACAGTGACTAAAGGGCTTAAAAGGGTAAATTTGGAGTCTTTTGGGACCCATGTTTTCTCATTTATTTCTATCTTGAAATTAACAAGGAATTTCGAGGTGGCCCTCAGCCAAAAGTGGTTTGTATTGCAAATTTACAGAACATTTCGTTTTTCGGATTTTTTTGAATTTTGTTTTATTTTCTATTTTTTAGAATATTATGCTCTGGGATTGCCCGGGACCCTGCCCGGGCCCTGCCCGGTCAGGGCTGCCCGGGAGGGTACCCGGGCGACCTTTCCCCAGCCGAGCAACCCGGGGACTAACACAGATTATCTGTTATATTTGTTTTTTTTTTTTAGTGAAGCCGCAACAGCTCATCTAGTAAGGCAAGCCCACTATACTGCAGCTTTAAGGGTGCGAACTTTGGTGATTTTTTGTGCTCGCAGGAACTAACAAGAAAATCTGAAAATTTGAGAATCCGTAGATCAGGTCGTGGTCTTTCCAGAAAAAAACAACAGAAAAATTTCAAAGAAATATGAAGGCCGTGAAATAATCGCTGTGTGGATTTGGCACATTTTCCATTTTTGCCGCTCAGCCATGTGTGGGTGAAGGGAAAAAGTACAACTCCAGTGATTTTTCACGCTCAGAAGAATGTGTGAAAAAACCTGAATTTGGAGTGCTCGTAGATTTTGTTGTGGTCTTTCAAGAAACCGTGAAATAGATGGCGGACCCAATTTGACCCATATTCTATTTTTGCCATTCAGCCTCTCTCTCTCTTTCTCTGGTAGGCCCCCAGTCTCTCTCTCTCTCTCTCTCTGGTAGGCCCCCACTCTCGCTGTCTCTCTCTCCGGTACTCTCCCCTCTCTCTCTCTTTATCTTTTTCTCTACTTGAAAGTGCCGTTTTGGTCGTGAATACAAGCGTTTTGTACCACGTTCCAAATGGGCTGTTATGGTGCTTTTTCTAGGAGGGTAACCTGGCATTGTGTATGGTAGGCATCGCAACCCAGAAAATAATGGTAATATGTTTTCTCCGTTGCAGGTTTACACAGAGCTCGTATGTGTATGTTTTGCTCCTCATCTTGGAGTTGTCAGGCACCGAGTAGTTTGTACTTGCAGTGGCTGTTGTCAGCAATGTTTGTGCAATTGGATGATTCAGAGCTGGCCACATGTACAGGACGTGGTTATGTTTTCTCTGTAGGATACAGTGATTCATTGGTGATCTCTTACTGCAGGTACTATGATGATCGGCAGTTTGAAGAACGCCGGGATTATAGGGATCGACCTTGGGACAGAGATCGAGGTGGAAGGGGTCGGTATTATAATCGAGACGACAGATATCGGGATGAGAGGAACCGAAGCAGGAAGCGTGAGCGGTCCAGAAGCTACACACCTGACCGAAGGAGACGCGAGAGAAGTCCGACAAGAGAAGGGAGTGCGGAAAGAAGGGCCAAGATTGAGCAGTGGAATAGAGAGAGGGAGCAGGCAGCAGCCTCTGTGGGAAATGGAGGCAATGGAGTGTACCAGCAGCGGTAGTGTTTGCAACTACAAACTGGTAAGCCTCCCTTTTCATTTTGTACATCTTCTGCTGCTCTTCTTTGGCTTCAGTTTCTTCTCTTTTGTTGTACTTGCATTATTGCCTTGCCGCTAGTGCATATATTTTGCCACTAAAAATTCCAATGGCATATGTAAATGTGCAGGTATGCAGGTTGATTGTGATGTAATATCCGTTATCATCCACCGTCATTTGATCGCAACGAGTTGGTTTTGGAAATCGCAAATCCCATTGCTATGGTAGTGTCTGCCATTGTATATTAGTTTACACAACTTTACAGTGCATGTTGCTCAGATCATTCTTGCTTGGCCGTTTTTGCAGGAAGTCTTCTGAATGCAGGTATACGTTAGGTAGTACAGGACCGCTCACACGTATGACCGTATGAATCCGTACTTGTACGCTACTCGTACGGGAGGGGCCCTGTACTGATTTTCTTTTTTTTTGGGGGGGGGGGGGKGTTGGCGGGGGTGTGTGTTAGTGTTCATGCACTCTGTATACCTAAAATCAGCCGAAAATTTCAGAACACCCCTGCCCACAATTTTTTAATGGCTATATGAGCCTGTATCCAATCTGTTTATCCATTGGATGTAGGCCCTGGATAATTAAAGAAAAGAAATGTGTAGGTGCGTATTTGTTTTGTTTGTGTCATGTGTGTCAGTGTGTGTGTGTTTGATGGTGTGTGTGTTCCTTTCAATCACCCAGACACACACAAACACAAACACACAGACATATTGCTGTTGCACTGATGATTGCAGTAAAAAAAAATTCTACAAGGCAGGCGGGCAGACATACAGGACAAGGCAACAAGGGAAAGGGCAAAAAATAAAAGTAGCAAATAACATCAAAGATTAAAAAGAAAAACAAATCAACACAATGCTACAATTCTGCTTGGCCGTAGGTCTATGGTCCTGGCCAAGGTTGGTGTTCTGGCCATGCAATCTGTGTATATTCGCGGCCGCGGCTCAAATTGACCGTTTTTGGGATTATGGTGGATTTTTTGGATCTTTGCACGATTTTCACGCCGAGTAGGCTGTAAGGAGCGCTGTTTCTGGATCAGCTGGTCTGCTGCAGGGAACACTGCAGATTGCGTCGAACCTGTTTTTGTGAAGATCTGACATGTATTCAGAAATTGAGAACCGTTTGTGTTTCTTTGTGATGCTTTTTTGTTTTCTCACGTTCAGTTTTCTTTCCTTTTTCATCATTTAATAGGAAATCACGCAGCACGAAAAACGCAGGAAAAAGAAAAAACGTAGAAATCACGGGTTTTCACTTTGTGCAGCTCAATCGGCACACCCATGAATTGGAGCCTACGGCCAGTTAGCCCGAAAGATGATGGGCCTCGCTCGAATACTCACCACCTACGTGACACCCGCGGCCACGACCGCAGGAAATTCGTCTGCCGCGGCCGAAAAAGTTGGCAGCGGCCGTGTCCAGGAGGCTTTGTTTGCGGCCCGTTTTTTTTATATTTTTTGGTGGTTGAAAAATAAGTGAAAAAAAAAAATAAAAATATGGCGTTGTACAACCCCTTTTTTTTTCTGAATTTGACTTCATTTAGGATTTATAAAAATAAAAAAACGAAAATCGGTTAAAAAGAAAAAAAAATAAAAAATAAAAGAAAAGCAGGATTTTTTTTTTCCATCTTTTTTCGTGACTCCTATGGAGTCAGAGTCCTCAAAATTTTGCCAAGTTAATTGCTTTTTTTTTCTTCTTCTTTTTCTTCTTCTATGCTGTTTTTTTTTTTTTTGATTGATTGATTGATTAGGGGAAAAAAATGAAGTGTGTGTGTGTGTGTTACATCTTCGACGCACACGGGTCCTACCGGACCCGACTTAGGGCCGGAGGGACACATCAGGGCCTAAAGGCCCGACCTTGGGTTATGACAGGCCCTCAGGGCCTGATCCTGGACCAGTACCTGACGGGCAGGCCCAAACTGCATTATCGTTTGGGCCTGGCGGTGCTCTTCTGGACGGTTCAGGGCATGGCCAGGCCTCGCAGCATTGAGGCCGGCCTCTGCCCCACCGGTATAAAGTACCGGTATAGCCTCACTTGGAGGGATCGACCCACCGGTATACGATACGGTGCGGTAAGGTCGGCACCAAAGTGCCGTTGGAGCGCTATGTCTGGCGCAGGAGCGAGGAGCAGGCAGCGCAGCGGTAGCGCAGCAGCAGCGAGCGGAGCAGCAGCAGCGGCGACTGGGTTACCGGCGGCCATAGCCGCCTGAGGTACCGGGAGTTGGAGGCTTCTCTCCTCCCTCCCCTCGCCAGTCCCCTCTCTCTCCCTCTCCTCCTCGGCTCCCTTCTTCTTCTCCTTCTTCTTCTTCTTCTTCTTCTTCAGATTAGAGACTATACTAGTTGGACAGAGATCAGAGTTGGACTTCGGTGATAGGAGACTGTGGTACTTACCGGATTGGAGACTTGGAGATCGTTGGGGTTGATACTTGGCGACATCACAGTTCGGACACYGGTTACATTTGGACTCTGTATCTCCGACATTGGTGACCTATGGTCCTCGACATTTTGATCTTGTTGGATGACATTTTGGACTACCATATCGGTGACCTATCAGATTTCTATCTCGGTGACTTTCAGTGCTGTCTACCT